ATGTCTGGAAAGGCACCATTAATGCAGAGAACTATGTTCAGGTTCTAGAACAACATGTGCTCCCATCTAGACGTCATCTCTTTCAGGGAAGACCCTGCATTTTTCAACACGATAATGCCAGACCACATTCTGCAGCAATCACAACATCATGGCTACGTAGGAGAAGGATCCGGGTACTGAAATGGCCAGCCTGCAGTCCAGATCTTTCACCTATAGAGAACATTTGGTGCATCATAAAGAGGAAGGTGCGACAAAGAAGGCAAGGCCCAAGACGATTGAACAGTTAGAGGCCTGTATTAGACATGAATGGGAGAGCATTCCTATTTCTAAACTTGACAAAACTGGTCTCCTCTATCCCCAGACATCTGTTTAGTGTTGTAAGAAGAAGGGGGGATGCCACACAGTGGTAAAAATGGACTTGTCCCAACTTTTTTGGGATTTGTTGACGCCATGAAATTTGGAAACAACAAATTTTTCCCTTAAACTGATACATTCTTTCAGTTTAAACTTTTGATCTGTCATTTGTGTTCTATTCTGAATAAAATATTAGATGTTGGCACCTCCACATCATTGCATTCAGTTTTTATTCACAATTTGTTTAGTGTCCCAACTTTTTTAGAATCCGGTTTGTATATCGTTATCGCCACCCTTCACAATACATATCTTGATATGAATTTTATGCCATATCGCACATTCCTACCAGCAACCAGCTCTTTCTTTGTCTTACTCAGTTCCTCTGAGTTTCCAGACCTGAAGTTAGTGTTCCTGGATTCCAGCAGAATGCACACTTCTGCATTCAGCCAAGGTTTTCTGTTTGGATAGCTTTTATTCATTCAACCTTTATTTAGACAGGTAAATCCCATTGAGCCCCGAGGACTCATTTACAAGAGAGACCTGTTAGCATATCTGATGGTGGAGACGGTGTCAGTACATGTACTAATGTAACCCAGAACTGAGGATGCATATTGGTCCAGATCAAGCGATCCTCCATTTTCAGCAGCTTCTCTGAAAACCTGCCAGTCTGTTCAATCAAAACAATTGTTCAGTATGGGGCCACTGTCTTGGATCCAACATTTAACTTTCTTTTGTACCGGTCTAGAGCATCTCAGCGGGGGAGGTAAGTAGGGACCATTAAGATTGAGATGTGATCAGAGAATCCTAGGTGGGGTCGAGGTTCGGCTTTGTATGCATCTTTTACGTTCATGTAAACACGGTCCAGCGTGTTGTTTCCACGTGTTGGTATGCCCACATGCTGGTAAAATTTGGGAGACAGTCCTTTAGATTCACGTGATTAAAGTCTCCGGCTACCACGTAAAGAGCCTCAGGGTGTTTGTTCTGGAGCGAGCTGATTATATCATTCAGTTTCTGCAAGGTGTCATTAGCATTAGCATCCGGAGGAATGTAAACAACTGTGATGAAAGTCACTGTGAACTCGCAAGATAGATAATGTGGCCGACATTTCACTGTTATTTGTTCCAAAGCCTTAGAGCATGAGTTTTTTACAAAAGTACAGTTCGTGCACAAACTTTTACTCACGTAAATGCACACTCCGCCTCCCCGTGATTTCCCCGTTAGCTCGCTGCAGCGTTTCGCTCGAAAAAAGAGTCTGTCATCCAGCTGGAAGACTGTATCCGGTGTTTCACTTGTAATCCATGTTTCCGTGAGGCAAAGCACCGCACACTTCATCATCTCTTCTGGGGTGCCCACTCTCAGACAAAGCAAATCCAGCTTGTTGTCCAACGAGCGGACGTTCGACAGAAAGAGAGACGGCATAGGGAGTTTTCCGGCTTTAGCCTTAGCTTGTAGCCTCACCAGAATTCTCGCCCAGTGTACTCTCTTCTTAAGCTGGGAGCAGCGCTTCCTCTTCTGCCCGCTGGAACGCCTCTGCTGCAGCTTCCAGGTAGATGACTTTAAGATCTGCATTCTGCCGAGCGTAGTTTTGAGTTTTTTGCTTATTTCTGCTATATTTTGTGGCAAATTCACTCCTATTCTCATCATTTCAGTTCGACTATAGTTCACACGCATAAATCGTGCAGAGTCAGGCACAGAGTCAATATCAAAACTTATAAAAACTGGGATAGTACCGGAAGCCTGTGAAGATGCAACTGCCCTGAACGTGGCCATCTTGGCAAATTATGTGTGTGTGTGTGTGTCCTTGTTTATGCTACTTTGTGAGGCCCATTTTTCCAACTTATACTGCATTGTGAGGACCAACTGCTCCTTATGGGGCCCAAAGCCCGGGCCCCATAAGAAGAAGTCCCGTTGGTGGGTTAGGGGCTAGGTTTAGGACTAAGGTGTGAATTGAGGATGTGTTAGGTTTAGGGTTAGGTATGTACTGGTATTGGTTAGGTTAAGGATAAAGGTCATGGTTAGGCTATAGAAATGAATGAAAAATGAATGGAAGTCAATGCAAAGGCCCCATAAAGATAGCAAAACAAACCTGTGTGTGTGTGTGTGTGTGTCCTTGTTTATGCTACTTTGTGAGGCCCATTTTTCCAACTTATACTACATTGTGGGGACCAACTGCTCCTTATGGGGCCCAAAGCCCGGGCCCCATAAGAAGAAGTCCCGTTGGTGGGTTAGGGGCTAGGTTTAGGACTAAGGTGTGAATTGAGGATGTGTTAGGTTTAGGGTTAGGTATGTACTGGTAATGGTTAGGTTATGGATAAAGGTCATGGTTAGGCTATAGGTGGGGAGTGGTGGCGCAGAGGTTAGAGAGGTGGGCTTGTGATCCGAAGATCGCCGGTTCACGCCCCGGCCCCGACAACGTCAAAATTGTGGGTGGGGTAGGTGAAACACTCATACTTGCCCCCACCCTCATTCGCCCCACTCTGGGCCCATGAGCAAGGCCCTTAACCCCCACCATGTGCTCCCTAAACAGGTCTCTCTTGAAAATGAGTTCTCGTGGCTCAATGAGACTAACCTGGATAAATAAAGGCTAAATGAAAAAAAAAAAAAAAAAAAAAAA